TCACTTACAAGCATTACATTTTCTTCTACATCAAAATCAATCAGTTGATATCTTTGCACAATAACAGAACCTAATGATCAGAACAGACTCCTAGTTTAGGAGTTAACATTAAGTTTAAGTACAAATGTTTTCATTTGGTACTCAAGTCTGTAGATATATTACAAATATTAAACTTTGATTCAGGTTGAAAACTGTCTCTGTTTTGATAAAAAGGTAAGCCATTAAATAATTGAAGTCATGGAAACGTTTTTCATTAAAAATTTTGTAAAGTTAACTGCTTTTAATAACATCTCTGAAGATTTTGAACCAATTGTGCTATTTGTATTAAGAATTAGAACTAAATAAAAGTTCCCTATTTCTGCCTTAAAAAAAAAAAAAAAAAAAACAAAACAAAACTAGAAAAATAGTGTCATTAAGCTTAGCTCAATTGTATTACGACAATTGAAATTTAAAATTAACTGGTACGAAAATTACGTTCTGCATTACTTAAACCTAAATATTTATTGGTATGATTCAATGGTGAATACTTGCTAAATTATCTCAGAAATAAAAAAAGAACTTGAGATGATTAAGCTTCTATGCTATGAATGAAGTATAAAAAAAAAATTTTTTTTTTTAAAATTTGCTTCCTCTCATTAAGAACTATAAACTTTAAAATTAGATTTACTAAACATACAGATAACCTAATTATCCAACTTGTACAAATACAGACGAGGTATGGTTCCCTTTCAATTGATTCAACACAAAATTATTACAAGATACAGATCAAACTTTTCTCAGAATATGTAACTCCAATGTATTTCAGAATTACATTAATCTTGTTCAAGTACTGTCAAATTAGCTAATTAACATACTACAATAGAATAAAACAATAACTTGACAAATTTTCAAATTAAAATAAGGTAATGAGTGAAGACAAAAAAAAAATTCCTATTTGGATGAAGTTACCTTCTTGGATAATACATAAACTGTAGACAACCAGAAGCAATTTTTTGTTCAATTTCAAGAGTTATTTCCCTTTCAGCTTAAAAAAAAAAAATTCTGCAAGGCGACAGGATATCAGTTATTGTCATTAAATAAGGACACTACACAAACTAGAATTACCAGAATAATGTAACTAATAAAAATATAATAGCATTAGATGCCTTTATATTAAAAAAGGTGTAACATTAAAATTATTGAATTCCACTTGGACATTGTCTAGTTAAAATTTAGAATTTATGCAAATAGAAGAAAATTGGAAAGAGAAAAAAAAAAAAAAAAAAAAAAGAAAGAAAGCCCCCACAAAATGTTTGAAATTTTATTGCTTATCTAAGCTTAATACAGATTTGAAGTTTTAGAACTGAAAAATAAGCATTACCTGCAGCTTGGACTGGAACAGAGTTTCTTTAAACTGTACTGCATGCCTACTTTCCGGAATAAAATTATGACATGGGAAATTTATTTAACCTCTGCCATAATAGTTTAACTTTTGCAACAGATTGCTATCCCAAAACTTGGAGGTTGAATGAAATGGGCTCGTTAGCAGTTCTTATTCTCAAATGCTATTGCAGCTGGTACGTGGCTGAATATCAATGTCAATTTAGAACACAAGAGGATCAGAAAGAAAGTTAAATACTACAAAAAGTTTACATGCACTACTGTTCAGGTATAATGACAAGCAATCAAGATGATATCTGACAACTCCACATGCCCACAACACAAGCCTTAATTACTTTTCTTCTTTTATTAACATTTTATATGTAACATCTCTGAAATGAGGAGATGAATAAAATAAAAAAAAAAAAAGTGTCTAAGATAAATCTTTATTTAGGTTCAGTTAACTAGATAGACATAAGAGAAAATTTAAAGCATCTTCTGAATCACAGAAACTGCAGACAAGTAGAACTGGCTGCTGGAAATTTGTTTGTCCCTTTTGTAGCATCACCTGGAGATGGTTGAGTAAATCCATTCATGATAATCATGGAAGGTACATAAACTTCATAAATAATAAAAGACCACTACTTACCTTGCTATGATGATGCTATTATCTATTTTTTGTTGCTCAATTTAAAAAAATAACTAGACATTCAAAGTGTGCTTAAAAAAAAACAAAAAAAAACCAACAAACTTATATTCTTTCCACTTAGATATATCCTAGCAATTCCAATGTTGTTGAGATTTGGGCTTTGACTTAATTTGGTCCCAATATTTCAACTAAAAACATTTAAAATAAAATTTTTCCAGAAATGTACCAAGTAATGGAGAGGGTGAGAGAGAGAGAAAGAAAGAAAGAAAGAGGGGAACAAAACAGTGCAATGTGATGCATAAATGTGATTAAATTTGTCTTAAAAATACCAAATTCATCTGAAAATAATTTCCAAAAATTAGTCTCATTTTTACTAAAAACTTTCGGCTGGCACATGCAGAGTGAAACAACTAAGTTAAAAAAAAAAAAAAAAAAAAAAATCTAAATTTCACGCTTAAACTTTTCTAAAAATAAATATTTTCAAAAATGAGGAATTAGCTTTTAATTCAAAGGATATATTCTAGAGATTAATTGCTAAACCCTTATTAGGAAGGATTCTATTAAGGATGTACATTAGAAAATAAGGCAAAGAAATTATTGCCTAATAAATGAAAATACAAATAAAAAAAATTTGGTATCTTTCTTTAAATAATGGGCCACCTTTGTACTCAAACTTGCCAAAGTAATGTAATGCCAAGTGGCAATGACGTATTCAGTTTTCATGGGCGCAATGAGAAAGGCAACTCTATAGCGATGGGTCTTCAATAACATTTTACGTCTTCAGCAAAAAGTTTCATACACTGTACTTGCTGCTGCAAAAAGATCACAGGCAATATAATTTCACAGAAAGAAAATACAATCTGTAGCTTTTGAGTTTTTAACTAAGTTTTTAACACTAAGGACAGGAGAATTTTTCAATTGAAAAATTGATTGTAAACAAAATTGGCAAATTTCTTTATATCTCATTTTCATTGAGTAAAGAAAAAGAAAAAAAAAAACAAAAAAAACAAAAAAAAAAAAAAAAATAAAAATGAACTATAAATACAAGGCAACAAATTACCTTAGTTTAGATGATAGCAACTTTATCTTCAATGTAATTTGACAAATTAATTACAAATGGAAAGAAAAAAAAAAAATGTTGCTCCTAAATAGCAACATGTAACCATAAAAAGGTTACAAACTGTATAAACAAATTAACAAGGATGTTTCTTTTAACTCATTGCAAACAGCCTAGCTGCTCTCACTCCAATTTCAACGTCCTTGTTATTGATCAATTCAAGTTTAAAGTCACCAGAGCATACAGTGGTGTTTATTTAATGTTACCTCCATCACTTTATCCCCCAAAAGCCTAGACTCTTTAATAATTAATGTTGGATGAGCAATTTCAGAAATATATTGAGAATTTGTTAATGTACTTAAATACAAGTAAATATGAAAGCTATTAAGGAAAAGAGGAAAAAAAAAAAAAAAAAAAAAAAAAAGTAACTTTGAAGACCATGCCTTAAAGGCTGGCTCAGACATCAGGCCAATTGTGACTAAAACAGCACATGGTACCACTCCTCACTCAACACAGAAGTGATTAATCCAGAACTACTCCTGAAATGCCAAGACAGGAGAGCCAAAAATGTTGATGGGAAAAGATCTTAACATCAAATTGAACTTTTCTTTAAAGTGATGAGACAGGCCTTAAAAAAAAAAAAAAAAAAAAAAAAAAAAAAAAAAACTCTCAAGATTTCGAAACCTGAACAAAGAAGGCCAAGATAGGAATGTATGAAAAATTAATAAGAGGTCATCTGTGAAGTTAGATGCAATATGTAAATTAGAGAAGAAAACTAAGTGATGGAATTTTGGGAAGTGTTGAGTAATTGAGGTATTATTTAAGATATGGATTCCAAGTGATATTCAGTGAAATATTTTCATGTTAATGAAATTCATTTATGAATTTCTCTTGTCCAAAGCTGGGATGCAGCACTGATCAAATTTAGAGTTTACTGATTTTGGAAGCTGAAATTACTATTTTTTTCCCTTTAAAAATTGAAGACTAAATTTTACATTCTTATTTAATGAAAGAAAGAAAGAAAAAAAAAAAAAAAAAAAAAAAAAAAAAAAAAATAGATAACATTTTTGCTAAAGAATGTGAAGCCAAAATGGCTTTTAGAATTTTTAAACACATTTACAATTAAGAGTTCATATGGCAAGCTTTCATCATAAATAAATGAAATATTACCATTTAAATTTTCTTATTCGAAATTACTTAAATTTACAAAATGCTTAAAATAAAATTCAAGAAATTCAAGCAAAATGATCTTTCAGTCAACTTGTCAGTTTGTTGCGTCAGGAGTCAAATAAATGAAAACAGGAATAAAAATGTTACCCGTCTGTTCATTCCAATTGGTCTTGCGGCTTCTTTACACTGCTAAAGACTTCTATGTTCGCATATCAAACCCATATTTCACATTCCCTGCTCTCTCTCTTAAGCCACCAACTGATTATCTTCATTTTTTTCATTTTCTTAGCTTCCACGATTTTCATTCAGCCTATTCCGATTTTCCTTCATAGTTCATTCTTTCTTCAAGTTCAATCCCCATTTGATTTCTGAGTTCTTTCTTCACCAGCCCATTTCATTTCTTTCTTCAATACCTTTATACAATACAAGAATAAGTAGTGTTAATAGTGGTGGACAGCTCTGCAGGCTCATATTAGCCTGGCTTCAGAGATTACAAAACAACAATATAAAAAATTAAGTCTTCCCAATGTCTTTATTGAAGCTGTGAACAGTGTAGTCAAATAAAAGCACAGACAACTACTGCTACAAGATGTTCAGGTTCTTACTAAAAAAAGGGGAAAGTAAAGATATGAGAAGTTGTAGATGATTCAGTTTTTGTATTTGTTTTCCTTAAATTTGCTTGAGAAATCCTGACAGGCACAAATGAATGACTACACCATTACTATGTACATTAAGTGAAGAACTGCTTTTTACTGTAGGCTCATCTCAATAGTGACCTGAGGAAAAAGGGAAACAAAAGAATCATGTAATAACACAGCAGAAAAAGTAACAACTGGTTAATCTAAAGAGAATTGGGCTATAAACGCCAACAAATTTGTATTTAACAGACAATGGTTAAGTAGAAATATCAAATATAATGAAGCTAAGAATTCAAAGCTTCAAGTTTTATGTGAAAACATTTCTCAAAAGCCAATACCCTGATAAAAAATGGTTAAATGATTTGAAAGAAAGTGGGAGAAGTGAAAACCCTATTGAAAATTATATTAGGTAACAAAAATTACTTTCTAAATAAATCAAAATCTCTAAATGTAGAAATGCTACACAACTACCCTTATAAGAAATTAATTTCAAGTTTCCAGTAGTTTCATTCATTAAATTTTTCATTTTAAAACTAGTTATTCCAATGTAAATAAAGCAATTAATAATTTATAAGACTGCACAATATAGTGCTGAGATTTCATGTGATAAAAATTTCTAATATCTGCTGATTTTATGTGATTTAAAAGGTATATCGATTGACCTAGCCAAATTTGGCACTGAGCATTTGAAATGACTAAGGTTAGAATTGAAACTTAAGCACACTAAGAGTAATGTCTTATTTGAGACAAGTAGACATACAAAAGGAGAAAGAGAAAAAAAATGTCTAAAAAGGACATTCTCTTGATACTTTTGTATACTCCTTGCAAAGTTTTAAAAGGCTATTTTTAAAAAATAAACATGAAATTAGACATACATTTTTCCTTGAGAATCAAGAGAAAATGTTAAACTATTCCATTGCTTATTTACAAGATTATAAAAAATGCAAAAATATTTTTCACAAAAACAGAATCTAAACTATACATACAAGATTATTACAAAAAAAAAAGAAAAGAAAAAAAACCCTGATTAAAACAAAGAAATATTTACCATTTGTTTATTTGCAAGATTAATTTATATATGCATTTAATTCTTGGTTTATTTTGGGACTTGTTAAAAAGGTAACATTATTTGTGGAAAGCTTTTTGTTCAACCAATTGCAGACAAAACATCAATTCTGCTCCCTGCAATTGAAAAATATTTTACCAGTAACAATTTCAGGTGGTTGGCTGTCATACAGTAGTAACTCTTGAAATATTGGTAAAAATTAAGCATTTAATAATTATACACAAGGAAAACTGCCCACCAAGTGACTAGAGAAATGCAAACTCAAAATATTGAATGTTTGGTTCAGAGGAACACAGACTCAACATATATTAGTTAATTTGAGAGCAAATGAAACAGCTGTAAAATGTATTTTTTCAAAATTTATTAATTACTCATCTTTTAATTTTCTTGCTCTATGGTTCAGACTTTTTTTTATCATGTTATTTCTTACAATATGGTAAATACTGCATTGTAGCTTCACATTTTCATAATCTTGTAAATAATTTATTAATCAAATAGTGTTTAACATTTTTATACCAATTCTTGAGAAAAAATGTATAATTCTAGACTCATACTGCAGTTATATTAATATTCTAAAAATAACCTTGAGAGCATACAATAATAGCTGTGTCAAGAAAAAGTCTTTCCAACTATTTTTTCTCTCTCTCTCTAGCTTTGTTAAACTTTGCCAACATTTCTATGCATACTTCTAACACAGACGATATTCATAGCAACAAGAATCCTGAGTCCTAATTATGCCAACAGGCTATCTTTGAAATACTTTAGATTTTAATACGGTCAAGTTGTATCTTCTCACCTACTCCGGGAACCGTGCTTAATTTTAAACAGCATTATCTAAAAAAATCATACCAATTGCAGTTGTAATAGATGTACAAGGCCAGAAGTCCAGTGAAACTCCCATAACTGATTTGAAACATTGTGATACTACAGCTGACATTTAAAAGTTTTAGCTTAAATAAACAGGCCAAAACTAATCAGCTTGGAGAAACCCAATTAACTGAAAGCAATTTGCATTAAGCTGGAAATATAGGGAGGGAAAGAATCTTGACTTACTTTAGCTGTAGTGCCACAATGGAAAGCAAAAAGCTTAAGTGAATATAAATAAAGTTTACTTTACTTACGTGGAGAGTAAGATCTGGAACGCGATCGGGAATATCGACTGCTACTACGTCGATAATAGGGGGAAGGGGAACGTTTGCTTCTGCCTTCTCTATAACGAAGGGAAAAAAAAAAGGTATTTTTCTTTCAAAGTTAAATTCCAAGTAAATGGAATGAGGAAACAAATCTGCTAGAGCAAATATTTCATGCAGTGATTTACTTAAATTTGAAAGGATTTTTCTTGTGAAAAAATTTCAATTGAAATATCAGAATGTTAAGTTTTAAATGGGGAAAAAAAAAAAAAAAAGTATTTGTTCATGAATTTTAAGTTTCAATGCAAAATGAAAGTAGTAATAATTGAATTTAGTTATTAAAATCAAATTTTGTTAATAGATTCTGTTTACAATAATCTTTTTTTTATACAAAGTTATCAACATAATAAAATTGCACAATATTAAGAACTTTTCAAACTTACGATGTTGGTTTTCCAAGATAGATTCCTGGAGTTGGAGTGTGAGCTCTCTCAGTGATTGAATAATCAACTCGAATTCGTCTGCCATCAACTTCTATCCCATTGCATCTTTCTTTAGCCTGAAAAACATGGAGAAAAACATTGAATAAGTTTAGTAAAAATATGCAAACATTTTAACTTATTCACTGAGAGAGTGAGAGAAAGAGAAAAAAAAACATTAGGGGTAAGGGAAAAGACTACAGTCTACACAGGTTTTAATTCTTAACAGAAAAACTGTAGAATGATTTTAAAAACTGATTTAAAGATAGAAACTTACGAAAATTGATAATTTTCACATGATTTTTCTGCTGTAGTTTTCAATGTATTTCAAAATGCTTCAAGAGTAAAATGCCAACTGATGATTCAGCTTCAAAACGTCAGCCTTCATTTTTCAGAAAACGTGTTTTCAACCAAATGTCCATGACTTTGGCCAAAACCTGTGCAAAAACTAGTCAAAACTTTTATAAATTTGGCCACTATATTTTGTTTGATAATCCCAAGACTGAAAAGCTAATTAGAATTTAGCTGCTATGGTCAATTACATTTATAAAAATATTCCTCAACCAGATATCTAAGTTAAACATTATCAAGAATGAGTGATTTGGTTTCCTTTCAGGAAAGGACTTGTATTAGGTTTACAAGTAAAAACTAAGATAAAAGAAAGTCCATTTAAGATATTTAGTACAAAAGTTATATTTCCAAATGCTTCAGAGTGTACACAATACTAAATTGCATCACTCATTATAAATCACTTCATGCAAATACGCTAGGTTATACATTTAATGAGATTCTATAAAATTTTAATCAATTCCAACATCTCAACTGTAGCCCGAGAATATAATTTCAAAAAGCCAATTGTCTTGATAGCATTTCAGGTTATAAATTATAACTAAAAAAAAAAAAAAAAAAAAAAAGTTTGGTATTTATTTTACATCCTCATCTGCATGCTTTAAATTTGAATTGATTTGAAATTTGATTTGCCTATATTGTTTTTATGAGAAAGTTTTTTGCCAGATGAGAAAAAGGGGAGAAGGGGAAGGGGAAAAAAAAACAAAAAAAAAAAAAAAAAAAAAAAAAACGGAAAACTTATTTATTTAAAATTTTTTTTACTCACCTCCATTGCATCATGAGTTGCTCGGAAATACACAAAAGCAAAGCCACGGGATCTACCAGTCTGAAACATTAAGGAAAGAAGATTAGGTAAAGATTTAAGCAATTTTAAAAACTGCTGTGATCAATGTAGCAAATTCTTAAAGTTTATATTTTACCTCAAAATTTTAGATTGCCAAAATTGTGAATGGTTAAGATTTTCCACTCTAAAACCTTCTAAATGTACTCAAGAGTAAAGAGGTTTCAATCAAGTATACAATTAGTTTTATTACCAAACTTAGCTTTTCAACAAAGCAATTCATGACATCCACAGAGCTGCAATCTTTATTATGGTCTTTGTTCTGATAAAACATAACTTTCCCTCTGACCAAGTAGATCTGAAAGATTTTTAAACTGTCGAGCTCAAGAACAAAATCCTGCATGCAAATAAAACGCCTGTGTGATTTCCCCCTGGCAGACAATGTAACACAACCCACTTCAGCAAAGCTTTGTTTAAATATGGATTTACCATCAGTCACGAGAAAACTGGTCATAAGACAGGCCATTGCCAGCCAACACCAAAATCTGATCATGATCCTGAAGTTGTCCGTGACTAGACCTGGGATCAATCTTAGACTTCCTTTTAACACCAGAGATAAACCAGAGAAAATGGAACTAAACTATGCTACAAAGATACTTGTATAAGAGATCTGATGACCCAAGGGATCAATGTGGGGAAAACTGTATCCTATGACTGATCATCCTAGAGGCAGGCAGTACAGAAAGACCTAAAGTTCAAGAAATAAAGCTCAGTCTGACAGACCAGCATCAAACTTCATCTGCACTAAGTGTGGGAGACGTCCATTCTCAATACAATGCACAACCCCGATCCTCCAAGACTAATGAAGGCCTTACGAAAACACAGTGTGTGTGTGTGTGTGTGTGTGTATATATACAGGTTGTTCACTTTGTTTCATTGCTTAGAACTATTCCAATTCTACCTGTGCGCAACACAAAATGAGGTTGAGCTCATTCAGCTTATATCAACACATATTAGAGACTTGCATGCCTCTAGCAACCATGATAATGTGTTACAGAATGGTCAGCGACTGGCTGGCGTGACATGGGCGGGGCATTCTGATAGCGATGGATTGCCTTTGACACAAATCCAACAGAGGGTCTCAAGAATTCTGATGTGCTGATATGCTTCCTACAAACTCATATACAAGTTTTATTGAAGTCGAGGCACTGTGATTAAATTTTTATGAATTTTTCTTTGCATTTCTTTTCTGGATGTAGAGTGTGTAAAAACTACCCAAATAATTTGTGGATCCGAGATTTTCCATCTATTATCAAGGAAGTTTTTTTTCTCGTTTAACTGAAATATATATATATATATATATATATATATATATATATATTACACACACGTGTGTGTGTGTGTGTATGCGGATGAATGAATAGGTTTTTAATTTACAAACAGTCAACACTGAGGCCATGTTCACAATTGATATTGAGAGATGGCTTAAAATAATTAAAGCTTCCATTATTTTGAACCATATTTTTTGCATGTGGAAGTGTCTGTTATAGTCATATTTTCCCCAACTATGTTGCAAACAGAGGTTGGTAAGTTTGAAATTGGTCCAAATGATCCGAGAAGTGCAAAGTAAATCTTGATAAGCATGTAGTTCTATGTCCGATCTAATTATGAACTTCTTTTTGCCAGGAAAATTCTTAAATAGAACAACTCTAGTCGCCCAGGACAAGAAAATTAAGTTATATATTATAAGAAATTAAAAAGGTTAACCTCATCATCAACAATAACATTTCACCAGCAAGGTCGGAACTACATAGGACCAACATTTATGAATTAACATACTCCTTACAGAACTGCATTTCTGATGAAAACAAGGACATATTTAAGTACACATGGAGACCTTCCAACCTTTGTCTGCAACATACTTGTGGTGAATCACAAAATACTCATCCACATGAAAGGGGAAAAAAAAAAAGTTAACAGAACTGTTAATAAAGCCAACTCACAATATCAATTGCAAGCATGGCCACAAAGTGTAGACCATGTCCAAGAAGTAACCACTCACAACTGCATATCCAGTATTTATTTATAAAAATAACATTCCTTCACAATGAATAGATTAACCAAAAGTTCTTTGATCCACAGATCATTTGGGTAGCTTTTACACATACTATCTCCGAAACGAAATCACTTGTACAGATGTAAGAAAAACTTAAAAACTTAAATGCAGTGAAACTGTATTATAAAAAGAGGGAGTGTTACCTAAATAGACAGTGATGTGTGTGTGTGTGTCTCACCTACATGAAGGAGACTAATGTTGCTTCCACCCCTCCACCCAAATATCCCGTTTTTTTAAAATACTGTCAGGGGAAAAAAAAAAAAAAAAAAAAAAAAAGAAGCCAAATTTTACTGTTATTTTTTTCCCAGTGAAATCACCATGAATAATTTTTACACAAATGTTTTTAAGCTTCAGGTCCCCAAAGTCACTTATAATCTAGTCACAATCAAAAATGTAGTCTTTATCAAAATATTTTTTTTGAAAAGTTTAATATTTTGATCTGGAAAGAGAGATGTGTCAGTGAGGGTTTTTCTGTTGACTTTGCTACTTGTGTACAGTGTCCGATGAATAAATTTTTATCTAAATTACACAAAAATGAAAATAACACATCTCATTTAACAGATATATTTACCAAAATTACACAAAAATATCTATCTGAAATACTAAAGAGTAAATTTGTTCAACAAAATTGACATTGGCTTTAACTACGACCTGCAGATAACTTTTGAATCTCCTGCAACTCTTCTGGGCAGTCTCCTTGTTTAAGTTGGTGAATGCTGCCATAATTATTGCCTTCAGTTCATCTTTGGTATTACAAGTTTTGTTGGTCTCTCGCTCAACTGTGCACCACGCATAATAATCAAGAGGTTGCAGTCTGAGGAGTTAAATGTAAAGGGTGATATGGTTGAAGAAATTGTCTCCTACTCCTATTCGTGTGGCATAATGCAGAGTCTTGTTGCCAGACACAGGGTTCTCCAACAGCCACCCTCTTGACACAAAGCAGTACTACCTCCTTAACAGTGTTGAGTCTGACGCCCAGTGGGAAGATGAATGGAGGCATAATGTCAGCATTGCGAGTGATCAACCCATACACCTTTGCAAACACCATAATACTCCAACTCTTACCAAATCCTCCCCACTGCCCTTAGATTGACACCGAAACACTTTGAAATGTTTGCTTTGGGGCTCCCAGTGCAAATGCCAAAGAGTACAGCATGCAGCTTTCTGGCAGGGTGAATTGTGCCATGGTGTTTTTTCTCACAAAAGTTGCCTAATGGGGGGAAGGGGGGTGTTCCGAGTGAGAGCGACAGATAAAGAGAGCGACAGGTATGCACAAAAAATTAAAAATGGCGACAATTTACCCATGACATCGTGTATGTTTTGAAAAGCTAGGTAGAATTCTAAAAATGTGGCACTATTTACTCGTTACATTATTTACAAGATTATAAAAATGTGGACCACAATGCAATATTTCTCGTTTACCATTTTATAAAGAAATATGAAAATATCTTTATTCAAATGTGTTGTAACTATAGAGCAAAAAATTTAAACATGATTTCTGCAGATATTACATTTTCTCAGATTACTCATTTATACCAAATATATGATAAAATATTAACAGAAATACCCAGTAAAAATTATAGACATTCTGAAATTCTACACAAGGAAAATCCTGCCCACCTCATGAATAGCGAGATGCATGTCCAAAATATTGAGGGTTTATGGTCTCACTTAAAATTAAAAGACAGACTGGTTTAGAGGAAGTGGTCAAAACCTATTTTTATGAATGTGCGCAGAGAGCAAGCAAATGTAAAGCCTGGAAAATGCTTTATTTTTTTTAAAAGCTTATTAGTTTAAGTTTATTTAAATTTGCTTGTTCAATTTTATAAATTTATGGGGAAAAAAAAAAAAAAAAAAAAAAAAACAAAACACACGCACACACCTCTTCATAAAAATGAAGTTTTATGAAACCTACTCAGTTCACATTTTTATAATCTCAAATAAACAAGTGGCGTGTAACATTTTTATCATTAAAATTCTAAATACAGCCTTTTAAAAGCTCAAATGGTTCATTGGTGAAAGTAATTAATAGCAATATCAAGAGGAAAACTATACTTTTGACACCATTTTTTCTTTTTTGCAGGCCCAAAGGTTAAACATTACCAGTTTCATTTAGAATTACCTGCCCTCCCATTGTCACTAATTTTTTCCATCCATCAGTTCTTAAATTTTTTTTTGTTTTTTTTTTATAAATTCAGAAAACACTTAAGATAGCTCGTGCAGAGGCCGCTTGATTGGGACTCAATTACAATAAGTCGCGGGAATAGATGCAATAGCCAATAATAAACTACAAAAGAAAATATCACATGTTGGGCTATGGCCTCAGAGTAAAGTTGAAAAGTATAACACACTAGCATGCATATATATATATATATATATTATATATGTGTGTGTATGAGAGGGTGTTTTTTTTTTTTTTTTAAAATTAAAGTAAAATTAGCTCTTACATTTAAAATGCCAACACTTTTCATTAACAGATAAATACAAAAATGAAAATTCCAATCTGGCAACTGCCATTTTTCATTACGCTAGAATTTAGTGTGTGTGTCTAATAATAAAACCAACAACCCTAACTTGTCATACCAAACTAATATTCTATCATCCCTGGGATAATGTTAATTTCAAGCCTTCACAGCTGTTTAAAATACTTGTTTTTGTCATATAGGAAAATCCAACAAGGTGCTTGAACAAAATATTTGGCTAAAAAATCCCATTCATCAGACACATTTAAACACCTCATAGAATGCAAAGTTCTCAAAGCAAACCTGTGCCAAATTGTTTTCCTTAGCAAACAGAAAGCAAACTAAAAAAGAAAGAAAAGGGAATTCATTTTGCCACTCTCCGAACAAAGTCCATAGCAATTTTTCAGTGAAGCTATTAATTCCATCCATTTTTTTGAGCAGAGTTGAAAAGTTTTTCACAAAGCATATCCACAAGTTCAATTTACTTACTTGTCTGTCATATACCACTTGAACATCTTCAACAGGACCATATTTGGTGAACACTTCTCTTAAATCCCTTTCTTGTGTATATAAACTCAAGCCAAATACACCAAGACATCTTGAAGGTTCTGGGTTATCCTGGAATTAAGTAAATTTATTATAGTCCCAAGCAAAAAGTTCAAATATGTAAGGGGGTGGGAGGTTTTTGGTCATAATCATGAAAAAAATTTTCAAAATGGATATATTCTCTAGGTCACATGCCAAGAAATTCCTGAACACAATTGGATTGTGCTTAGATAATCTGAATGAAATACTTCATAATTTTTCTTCTAATGTGGAGTGGTTAAGCTATTATGAATAAACTATATCTTGTAATTCTTTATAAAATCATACAAAACTTTTATTTAAAATATTAATGCAACAACAATAAAAAAAAAAAATAAATAAAAAAAACTAAAAAAAAAAAAAAAAAAAAAAAAAAAAACAAACCCACTAAAATTAAAATTTCAGATAAGAGAAAAATTTGACTAACAAATGTACCTCTATAAAAAAAAAAGTGACAAAAGAATGGATCTGTTTTTGACACTGCAATTGATGTTTACTTCCTCAGCTATTTTGTTTTAAAAAGCTCCTTTTAGTTTTAATAAAACCCAAACATGAAACTAAATTTATGCACTATTTTTTTCTGAAAATAGACAAAACTAAATTGGTTATTTACAAGATTTTATGTATTACAAAATTAAAAATGTGAACTACAATGCAATATTTATTATTTACATTATAAAAGAACAACTATGAAAACATTGATTTGTTAATAAATTTATAAATCTGAACAATTTTTTTTTTTTTTTTAAATGAACACAACACCAGTAACTTAATTATAAATTTGGGTAAAAATGCATTTTCCAGGCATTTATTTAATTTGTTCTCACCACATGAACCCACTAAAACAAAAATCTATACATTTTTCCTCCTCAGTGTTAAACTATTTACAATAGCATTTAACATTTTTATTGTCAAATCAAGAAACATTTTAAGACAAACATTGGTAATGGAGTATACAATGAGTAGTGCCAAGAGAAAGAAAGCAGTCCTTTTGCTATCCACCTCAATACGTTTATAAAGCTTTACCCCCAATTATTTTTCTCTCTACAGAAGACACAAGAAGGGAATTTTAAACAGAACCACTTTGTACCATGCCCAAAAGCAATGCAGTGTAAAAAAAGCATGTCCAGAAGCAGTTAATGTGAGAAGACTGACAAAGTTAAGATATAAAAAGTTAAAAGTTAAGATATATTCATGGTTCTTTTTATAACTGTAATGCTATGAATGCTCTTGAGCAAAGTATAAAGCGGTTTTATTGATTTCTAGATGAGCTGGCAATGAAGGATATAGTCAAAGCGAAAGAGGAGTCTAGTTAATCTGGGGGCAGTTCTGTTATGCTTTCCTTGTCTATTACCAGATCACAATATCTAAAAACCAGATAAATTTGAATCAAGAGGATATCCAATGCAAATATATATGATTTTTAGAAAGTGATCATTCATTCATACATAAATGTGTGCATATGTACGTACGTAGTTAGGGATCCAAGTGATTAGTTTCTATAAGTAGTTTTATTAATTCTTAGAGTTAAACCGAAGCAAAGAAAAAAGTGTATATGTATCAACACATTATTCTTAACTGACAATACAGAGATAACTGTATTTGTTTGATTAACTTTCCCTGTTCCCAGGTGTCTTCATGAATTACTTTTGTTTATGATGCCAATCAAGTTTAATTTTTCAGGACCGAGTACTTCTAGCACACGAGTCATACACCATTTGGTCTTATTCACTCAAGGATTCAAATCTTGTGAGAAGGCTGTAATACTAACCTGATTTTATATTGGTCAGAAATCCTTTATTCTTAAGAGAACTGGTATTGTCTTATTCCCACATCTTAATGTTACCAAAGTATATTTTTATGATCCAGTTAGATTACAAAATTAGTGTGCACTCAAGTGGCACATAACAGAGATATTCTGGAATACCAAGCATGCTACGTGTTTACAATTCCAGTGAAGTGGAAACAAATCTAATCATTTTGTATGATCATACCAAATTGAAATCTAAAATCGTTAAGAACAAAAATCATATGTTCATTCGCTAAATCAAAAACCAAGTTTGCTCAATAGCAACGGGAAAACAAGACAGAAAAATTCTACCAAGAACAGAAACTTTAAAATTACAAAGTAAGCCTTGCCTAAATAGAAGCACCAAGAACAGCTATAAACACAGGAGCAAAGAAAAATTAGCTGAGGCTAGCACGACAGAAATAAACTTGCCTCATTTTGTCTATAAGAATGTTATGGTCCAGAAGAGAGAGAAAAAAAAAAAAAAAAAAAAAAAAAAAAAACAACATGCAGCATCCAATATATAACTGGGTCTTTTGCATACAAGACAAGAACCAACACATATAGCTTCTGGATATTATTGTCCATCAAATTAGTTCACATTTTAAAGTGCTCATTGATTGCCAAGCAAGAAAAATTTGTTCATGAATTAGGGTAGGCACCAAATAAAAATCACAAACCAAAATGTTTTTTCCTTTAACACATTCTACCTATTATTGCAAAAATAATCCATTAGCTTTCTGAGTATGAGATTGGATACCGAAAATGAGAATTAATCCCATTTAAATTACCACTTAACACTTCAGCTCTCATCCTTTGTTTTTAATGCAACAATAACAATTTAGCACAGATTTAAATTTAAAAAGCAATGAGAGGAATGAAAAACATACATGTAAATGATTTTAGACAAATTCTTTCTTCATCATGAAGATTAGAAGACAAGTGACACTGAAAAGTTATTTACTCAATTCACTTCCCAAAAGCAGTATTACAATGATCAAACAGAATACAGATTTGGGACTGGGTCAGGCAGGGAATTTTAACTAATTCTACAAGTTAGTGAGCTAGAAAAGGAGAAAAAAAAAAAAAACACTTACCTTTTGAAATGAAAATTAAAGCCAGACATTTACTTAAATTACAGTATTCAAACACTTAAATGTACAGCTTTTCTAAGCTTAAAGTTTTAAGAGAACAGAGTGGAAAAAAATAAAATCTATTTGTAATTATTAGAATAGCACAAAACAGTAAAACCACACGATGAAATCTTCTTATCTTCGTCCTTAAATCAATCGCATGTTATTCTTGCTTCATACTAGGAGATGTCCGCCTACCTGATCCCGGAGCTATGAAAGGAGAGAGAGAAAAAAAAAAACAAAACATCCAATCAGTGAACTCGTAAGACAATATAGAGTGTGTGTGTGTGTTGAAAAATGGATTAGTCCAATTTTTGCTTGTGTATAAGATTAAAAATCATTTAATACATTTCAGCCATTGTGAAAAAAAAAGAAAAAAAAAGAAAAAGATTAATTTAAAATTAGCTTATGGGTAAAATTAGGCAACTCTGGTACAGCATCTAATAAGTTTATATTTAATATTAGGTTTGTTTCAAGAATACTGTGCTGAGAGAAAAGTTAGTTCTAGATTCATATATAAAATCTGAAAAGTAGGGCACAAATTTCAATTCTTTTCACATATTTAGATATATAATATAAATAAAATACAAAAGCTAAATTTCAACTTATTACTATTAACATGACCTATTAGGCTGTTGGGTGGGGGAACAATGGTATTTTGAAAGATTAAAATCAACATCATTACTACAAATGGAAAACAAATGCTGCAAGTATGAAAAGAAAATTAACTAATTCAAACAAGTTAAATTTGACAAATCAACCTCAAAATTTGCTATCTTGCCAAATCCTACAACCACAACACGACATTTACCCTTAAAAAAATTAGAAGTCTATAGAAAGCTACATGAAGAAAAAAACTTCAGTTTAGGTCAGGAGTTTTAATGCAAACAATGTACAAGAGAGCATTATATGTCACTTTAATATGAAAATATTCACAACCTATTTATTCATTTCATGTCAAATTAGCACAATTATAGTTAGCCAAATGTTGAGAATGAAATACCTATTATTCCATATGTATTTATGAGAACTATTTTCATCTGGATAATGGAAGTGATAATATGAATAACAATTTATATCATCTCAAATTCACATAAGACTCTAAAAGTAATGCCTCCGATTCCTTTCAACTAAAACTAGATGCAGGGAAAAGAGTAACACTATTGCATAGAGCAAGTTTTTCAGCAAAATACTTTCTCGTCATAACAGATTATTCATTTTTGCAGTGCTTTCATTTTATGGGATGACAGCTTTCTGGAGCTGGCCAGAACATGGCCCATTACTTATCTATGAAACAAATCATCTACCACTACTTTTTTTGTCTGCATAAATGTTCAGCCAGTATCAATGAATGTGAGTGAATAATTCAATGATACATTTCTGTTCAGATCCACTTTTATGTCAGTTACAATTTTGCAAAAAATGTAACAAGGCAAAAATATAGGTTATTTGAATCAACATCCACTGCCATACCCACATCTGCCTCTAATATCATGGGCCAATATAAAAAGTGGTCCTCATGTAATTAGAGAAAAAATAATTACAAGATTTGCAAGCAATTCAAATACTGCGATGTAGATTTTTCTATTTGAAATGTGTTAATATGAATTAAATCTTACAAAAATTCCCCACAACTTAAATATTTTTTTTTACTCATTTAAATATTTTCCAAGACCAAAATAATCCATTAAGATAGGTTTTCATAATTGATTAATCATTGCATCACAGTAAGAAATGCATTCATAAAAGAGGATAACACTAAAGAAATCTATAAATTTCTAAATACTTGATTACCATGAGTGAAAATTTTGAACTTCAGCTTTTTATGATTTATTCACTATAAACAGAAGTATAAGGAAAAAGTTAGGACAAACATTAAGCAGATGTTTCTCATTAACTAATTCACTGAACAAAGCACTTCATACAAAAGTGAATTTATATACAAAAGGGTCTAAATTTAGATATCTTTTAAAAATCTTTTGAAAAAAATCAGTTCCTTCATAGCTAGTAGATTAAAAGGAAGAAAAAAATCCAATGGCCCAATGAAGACTTCTCATAATTTAAACCTTGATGTACCAATATTTTCCTTTTCATGCAGCATTATTTTAATTTTATTTAACTTTTTTCATTAAGAACAATAAAAAAAAAAAATAAAAAAAAAAAAAAAATAAAAAAAAATCAGTTTCTGGAAATTGATAAATTACCAATTTCCATGCTGAAGACAACTATTTCATTAAAAAGAAATGAAATATAGGAAACATACAAGGTAAAATTGTGCATACACTGAAAAGCAAATTTTTGCAGGCAACAGAACTAACCCATGGACAAAGTTAATTCTTTTTTAAGCAAAGCAAATATAATTTTTCTATTTTTAGCCTAGTTTTATATTGAAAATCATATGCTACCAATTGAGAATGTGAATAGAGAGGAAAATGTTTTCCAATAATCTGCTACAAACATCCATATTATGAAGAGCTGAAGGAAAGCTAAAAAATTGGATAAAGTTATCTTTGTACTGTACCATCAATTTTTAAACCATAGCATCTAAGAGTATGCATAACACTTATTCTTTGATTGCTTTGTGTTCAAATTTGGAGCCACTCATGCAAAAAAAAAAAAAAAAAAGCCATGCTATGCAGAATCTTACACATATTCAAATTTAACATTCCAATACTTCAATTATTATTAGGTAAAAAGTGGGGAACAAAGCAATAGTTTTTGTCAATACTCAGTTTTACTATTTCGCATTAGACATTAAATGCCTAGTAAATCAGTGCCTTCCATCTTTAAAAAGCCAATAATAAACATCACCATGAAAGAAAAATTATTAATGCTCTTCAATTTAAGCGTTCATGCAAATATTAGACATTTCAGAACTTCAACTTACTCTGCTTCCGCCAAGCCGACGTCTGCTAGACATTGGGGATTTGCTATGAGTCCGATAGTATCCTCTTCGTCTGTCATTGTATCCATCTCTGTAATAATAGGGGGAATATCGCCCACGGCTATAGGATCGGCTAGAGAAAAAACAAAACTTGTCTGAATATCTACCACCAGACTAAAAATGAAATATTAGTCATTTGACTATTATCATGTAGTATGAGAAAACCATTAATTTTACCCAGTATACTTTACATTTGTTTTCAAGAATGCTCAAGCCACCAATTGGATTTAATGACATATCAAAATTGGGAAATTAAAAATTACAATTAATAACTCAAGATTAAGTCAACATTTTTGCTAATTATAAATAGTTTGTAAAGTATATAAACAAAAGATAAACTTACCTCCTACTCCGGGAGCTAGGGGAGGAAAAAAAAAAAAAAAAAAAAAAAAAAAAAAAAAAAAAAAAAAAAAAAAAAATTACAAATAAAAAGTATCACTAGTAAAAAGGGAAAACAGAGACAGAATTAGAGAAATTTCAGCCAAATTAAACACAAATCAATTCAAGCAACACACTAATTGAAACAAAAACACTAAAAACAAACTGAAAGAATAAAATTTACATTTTTCATGTATTGTAAGATATACTTACTATCTACGCCTGCCTTGGGAATAAGGACTCCTTGATCGAGAGCGAGAATAATATCTACGGCCTCTACTTCTAGATCTGCAAAAGATGAATAAAAAAAGACAATCCCAAAAATTCAAACTTGAAGTAAATAACACATCCCAAGTATGTGTGTATGTATATAACAAAAAAAAAAACCTCCATTTGAAGATGTTCAATAAAAGGAAAGTGGGGGAGGATACCAACATTTGTCCGTAAGTAGAAACTTATTTAATTAAATAACTAGAGGGAGTATTTCATAATTTCTATGCAGCCATTTCTTTTTTTTTTTTGAGTCCTATTCTTATAATGCCATCCCAATTTGTCTATGGGAGAGTGGCAATTGTTTAAAAAAATATAAGTAAATGTGAAAATACTTATGTGATTATATATATATATATATATATATATATATATATATATATATATATATATATATATATATATATATATATATATATAAAAATGCAATAATAAACATCAGTACAGTATTTTCACATTTTGAGTTAAACATTTCAACAAATCTTCATTCTTGTATTTCCCCGCTTTTTACAATTACCCACTTTTGAAAATGTGGGTATATATATATATATATATATATATATATATATATATATATATATATTTATACGCACACAAAAAACAAAAAAGAACACAGGTTTAAGTAAGCGTACTTGCAGATTTCATTTTCATACCAAATACAGCTATGAGAAGAAAAAAAAAAAAAAAAGGTAGAGTTAAATAAAGAATCGATTACATGGTTAAGGATGCAGTAACTTCAACCTGAAGTACAGATTCCCTCATGAAATCAAATTCCCCAAATTACCTAAGTGCCATTCTCATAATGGTGCATTAAACCTTTTTCAAGAACAACCCAACTTCTGCTTGAAATCAGTAGCTTCAAGCAAGGCATTTTTTTTAGATTTACATTCCGACAAACATTTTACAGAAAACTTCCTTTCAGTTGAGTGAGAGATGTCTGTACAGGGAAAAATTTGCTCCTCTCATATTACATATGTACAAATTAATTTGTGTAAAAAATTATATTTTTCATCGACTTACCGAGATCTGCTGTATGATCTTCTATGTCTACGCTTAGATCTGGACCGAGACCTAGATCTGGACCTGGAAGGTGAACGAGACCTTGACCGTGAACGAGAGCGAGAGCGAGAAGCTGATCTCTGGGAGCCCACTGATTTTGGTGTAGGAGATCTGGAGTAGGATCTAGAAGCCTCAGATTTATGAGATCCAGATTGATGAGATTTCTCAGAAACTTTAGATTCTCTTGATGCAGATCTGCTTCTCTAGAATTAGAGAAAGAAAAACCTTAAAATTATGCCTTAATTAAATTCAAGTAGTTTTAAAAGACATTGAAAAATAAAGAAAAAATTTGTTTACCCATCATGCTGAAAAAAAGAATAGAAAAAAAAAAAAAAAAAAAAAACAATTCTGAATTAAATAAAACTAAAAGAAATTGTAGAACACCTATAAAAACAGATTTCCATAGAAATTCAATTAGAATTTTTTTTTTTTTTTTAACTTGGTGGAAGAAAAGAAAAACATTGTGTCAATGTGCATATACAAAACTATAAAATGACCTTTTTGTGATATGCACAAGTATAAATTGTAAAGTAGTTGGTATCAAGCCTACTTAATATAATCTAAAGAGCATTATTTACAAAAACTAAGCCTTCCAATTTAATATGGAAAAAAGAACAAAAGCAAAAAAAAAAAAAAAAAAAACATCAGTTAATACTTGCTATAGATTTATTACTGCATCAATTATATCAAAACTTGATTTGCAGATCTCAGGTTTTTAAAAATACTCTTTAAATTCAGGTTGCATACATCTGCTGCTGCATTATTAGTACAGTATTTTAAGCTTAGCATTTAAATACTCAAATGAGCATCTTTTGAAGTAAACGACCTCATCGAGTTTGTTATAGCTACATATTGAGGAAATAAGGACCTTTCCTTCGGATAACCTAGGTACATTTTACATGAGCTCTTCATTATAAGCTTAAAAATAAAGGAATTTAAAGTTAATTGTTCATGGCAGAAAAGGATGTAATCCTACCATTTTTCCGATTTCATCTTGAACTTGGTACTCGTCTTCTGATTTGACAGTCTATAGAAAACAAAATTAAACCTGCTTTGAGCTGACAAGAACATTTTCAAACATTTCAATTAAGCGTATCTAAAAAATATTAGATAACAATGAAGATTATTCCTCATTGGGTAAAAATTTATAGTATGTATACTGCCTCCATGCAGATTAGATCTGCAAACCAAACAAAATGTAATAAAATTATGCTGAAATGTCAAAATTTTAAAATTGGAACCCACTTTTACAAAACAAGGCCATTTTAAATAAATAAATCATGATTAAAAATAGTAAGGGAAAAATTAAGTCTAATTAAGGAAATTCACACAAAACTATGTGTGGCAAGAAACAACCTTATAAAAAAAAAAAAAAAGTGTCAAATTATTGGTAAAATTCCCATTCCAGATCAATATAGATTTTTGTAATATAAAAATTTTTTTAAAAAAATTGTTTTTTTTATATGGCTTCAATGAAATTTTCTCTTAATGCTTTTAGAGCAGGTTTGATTTACAACTGAATGCTAAATAATTGGACATTACTATATGTCCATTTTTATGGCAAGCAATAATATCTTTTATGAATCCTTTAAGGCCCAAATTTTAAAATACAGAAGTCTAGAAATAAAATGGAGTTTGCAATGAGGCTTAGACACCAAACTGGCAACACCAAGTTATTTTCAAGCTTCTATACTTTAAAATTACATTTGCATAAAAGCAAAACCAGGTCTGTTTAGCAGTATATTTATACCGCAATTTAAACAAATCATAATAGATGTAGAGATAAGGTCTAATTTAATATAGGGAGATTCTGAAAAGTTCATGATTTGACCAAGGGATTTTAAAAAGTAAAGATATTTGAAAGATTGTGAAACAAGTCAGGCAGAAATTTTCAAAGTCCTACATATACAAACCTTGTCAAATTCAAGGAGAAAGATGACAATTGACCTTTCATTTAAATTTTTAAAGATTGTAGTTGACAAGAAAACAAGAACAGCGCAAAAGAAACCATTAGCTCAAGCTTACACATAGTAATTTCAACAGTAAAAGGATGAGACCTAGCTGCCAATTTACTGCATTTAAATTTAAGCCAATTTACCAAAGACTACAGTTCATCAGAACCATTACCATAAAAGTATTTATAGAAAATGCACAGGAAAGCTACATTACAACAATGGGAAAGTAACTGAAACCGCGATGCCTAGTCAGGACTAATGACATTGGAGGTTCTTTGGATTTTGTCAAGAATTTCTAGATACATAATGGAAGCACCAGACCAGATTTGGTACACAGATGAAGAGTGGTTTTATAAAAAGGTGCAAAATTGATTCTGGCAAGCAAAATTTTTCTAGCATGGCAGTGAACAAAGTTTCCTACCAGCAAACTGAACCTTTGATTTAATATAATCAGTCCACTTCATGCTAGTGGAAAAGGTTTAATTACTCTCCTGGAGATTACCATCAGCCATGCTGTTGGAAGGTTAAAAAAAAAGTTCTCTTATACAGTTAATAGAGAACAGTTTTGTTTTGAAGGTATTGAAATTTACATATACATGTATATGAGTTTCAATTCTCTAAAGTTGAGTATTGTCATGAATTTTACAATGTTGAGAAGGTAAACTTGACATAAAAGCCTGCAATTATTTACCCCTCACACCCAAAACAGCACTTTTTTTTCTTAACATGTTTCTACCTAGTTGCCCAACAAAATGTACATTTATAGTTACCTCTGAGATCACTAAAAATGATCATAGCATGATGAAAAAGACCTCAAATTTGACGAAAGCAAAATTGTGAAAACATGTTATTAATGAGAGGAAAAAGTATTTTTAAAAAATGTTTCCTTCTTTTTAGAAGATTCTAACTTGATTAAAAAAAAAACTTGTTTCTATTTGTGTCAGAAGTACTAACATATCAGATTTTAATGAAACTTTCAGAAACTATTCATAAATGATGGAAATTGTTTTAAATCATGGCAAATATATATTTTTTTTAATATTTATTACCCTACCCCCACTTAACTAATTTTAGGAAAACTAGAAATTCAATACTGTACAATTTAGTGAATACATTAGTCAAGGAAAGCAAATGTTTTTTTTTTGTTTTTTGTTTTTTTTAAATTGGACCCCCTCTACCTGAAAATCAGCTCTGAATTGTAACATACAAAACTTAATGAAACAAAGATTTAATTTCAAATGCTTTCAGTTACAAATATGAAATGAAAATTTTTTCCAAAAGAATTGTTGTTTCTTAAATTATCTTTACATTAAAGTTGTTAAATATTCTAAAATTAGTGAAAACGGTGTACACTTTAGTCAAGGGTGTTATTAAGTAGATATATCTACAGCATAGCTTATAACAATCAGCAGACCCCCACTAATTAAAAAATGTAATTTTGTGTTCATAAAATGGCTGTAATTCAAATGTACAGAAGACCACTATGAATACAATAAAATGTCATGTTATTTGAGTTAAGTGTTGTGCCCTGCTGTTATGGCTTATTTCTGCAAATTCTTCATGCAAAACGTGAAGAATTTAATCTGATTTTTCAATTTCAACTGAGAAGGGTATCTACAAGTACTTATGAAATTTATATGATCTTGTTTTTATATTATGACATTTTTCCGTAAACGGAAAAATCAAAATTAATAAAATGAATGTAAATACAAATACCATAAAATGTAATAAATGCACATAAAATAATATTTTATGTACACTCCTGATAAAATCTCATAAGAAAGGTGCCTATAATTAGATACTTCTCTTATGAAATTTTATCTCACCCTTATCTTAATTTTTTTTTTAATATTTTCCATAAAGCATTGTAAAAAGGTGAAACTTAAAAAAAATAAAAAAACAAACAAAAAAAAACTGGTAAATAAGATGGTTCACTTAAAACTAAATGTCACTTCTGCCTTTCTGCATGCTAACTTCCCCTCACATAAGATGTCAATACATGATGAAATCATCACTTACCAATGGCAAGCCTGGCTTTTCAAATTTTCTTAAAATAAAATTTGTAAAAAGTATATACCTCTCAATAATATACATTTAGATAATACAAAATTATTTTCATCAAGTTCAAAGCCCTTTTTATTCACACTATGCCTTTTTTTTTTTTTTTTAGAAATCTCATAGGTACCAAATTTTATAGTTAACATTTGTGGAACATTTATTCTATGAACCCTGACTTCTCCACATTGACAAGGAGTGGTATAGTGAAAATATATTACTTCTCACATGTGCTGAAAGTATGAGATTAGAGTAAACTTCAATGCCTACCTTAAAATAACTAAGACAAAACTCATTTTTGGATAATAAACTCATACCAAAGTGGAATAATTTTCCGAAACCAAATGAAAGTTAAAAAAAAAAAAAAAAAAATCAATACATGTTTTAAAAATTTGACAGGTTGTGGAGATTTATCCAATTGAAAGGCAATTTTCAGCACTTATCCATGAATAAATGAATTGTATAGTATACTGAATAGGTTATAAAACTTTGGAAATTTTGATTTTAGCTGTCAGCACAGTCGAATTCTTTCAAAAATAAACTACTTTTTCTGAACATTAGAAAAATACTAGTGGATTTAGAGTTTAATTAATCTGATTTCCACTCTTACAAAAAAGTGACGATTTATCCAATGAATTCTGCATAAACAAAGTTTAAATAGGTACCTCCATGAGATCACTAAGAGCATAGTAGAATGTAAAGGATGCCAAACTTGCCAAAAACAAAATTTTGTCTAAATATTTATGTTATTATTAAGAAGAAAGATCAAAGTATTTTTGGGGTATTTTTTTTTTTTTAATCATTCTTAGCACGTCCGAAATTTTTTTTTTTTTTGAGTAAGCAAAATGACAGATAATCATGTCGGCCATTTTTTTCCATTTTATTAGGAAAAAAAAAAAAAAAAAAAAAAAAAAAATGAAAATCTCAGTTTGAAATTCTTTTAAAAATCAATTTTTTCAAAAATTATTTTAAGAAAATCAGAAATTATGTTCATTTAAAATATTTTGAAACCAGAATTATTTAGTTTCTGCACCAAAAAGGCGTAGCTTGAAAATTAAACAAAGCAAGTCATAACATCACGCCACTTGACAGGTGATGAATGATGTATTGACGGATTACATGAGGATAATTTGTTCTAAAAGGAGAGAAGTGAAATTATTTAGATTTAAATGAACAAATTATTTACCTCGTTATTTTTAAGGAAAACTTTCAGCACTCTAATTTTTTTTGTACTTAGCTTTCACCTTTACATTTACGATACTTTATGGAAAATACATTATAAAGAAATTAAAATAAGACTTAAGAGCAAGATTAAATTTCATAAGAAAAAAAAAAAAAAAGATATAATTAATGTATAGGTATCTTTCTTATGAAATGAGGTGTACATAAAATAATATAATTTTATGTACATTTATTACATTTTACTGTGTTATTTTAGGTACCGCCACGAAATAGCTAAAAAAAAAAAAAAAAAAAAAAAAAAAAAGAGCAGTCCGATGAAAAAGACGCCAAACTTTATGAAAACAAAATTTTATCGTCTAAATGCTTATGTTATTATTAAGAGGAAAAACCAAAGTGTTTTTTTTTTTTTTTTTTTAACTTTCTAAATTTTGATTAAAAAAAAAAAAAAAAAAAAAAAAAACAAAACCTTGTTTCTCTTTGTACCAACCGGAACTAGTAAACAGACAATTTTTAGCACGTTTTTTTTTTGTATTACACACATTAATTTGGAAAATCTTGCAAAAATAAAAATAATTGTCGGATGTTAATGAAACTTTCAGAAACTATTCACAGATCGAAATTATGCTTTTTTTTTTTTTTTTAAATATATATTTATTAACACCCCTATAACTAATTTTATGAAAACGCTAGAAATTCAATCACATCTGGTTTAGTGATTACAATAGTTAAAAGCACAAGGCTTTGAAGAATGCAGATCATGTTTTTATTTTGGGTTTTTTTTGTTTTTTTTTTTAAATTGGATTCGCAGTACCTGAAAATCAGCTCTGAATTGTAA